GTACACCCGCATGTGGCAGCGCACATTAAATGAAACCGAATCCATAGTTTGCCCGTGTAGCTTTCATTTCTGAAATCTGAAGAGTTTAAAACTTCACCATGCAACTCCTCAGAAACAAAGTCGGACGCCAGCTGTGCTTCGCCTCTAACCTTCACAGCTTCCTCCTGTGACTTCAAAAGTGCATCTGATCATGTTCAGTGTCTGATTATTAAACCAGAAATAAACAGTTGTTTCCTGTAAGTATCTGCTTCTGAATGTTGCAAAATATTAGCTCAGTCCACCTTAAATTCTTTGTTTTTCTTCAGGAAATTTTGCTTTAAACATTGAACCTGCAGCCACGACATTTACTAAAATAAGTCAGCCTTAAGAATATTTCAGGTGCTCCTGAACAGAAAGCTGAAAAATATGAATCGAAGAATAAAACAAATCCACTTTATTCCTGAGACTCATCGGTGCGTCCGTCCTCCTGAAGTCTGGACTCAGGAGAAATTCACAGCCTCAGCATTGCTTCTCCTGCACGTGGTCCTGGGAACATTTTCTCAAAACTGTTCGTCATTGGTGGTTTAGAAGTGTGACATACTGTACGTGTTGGCCTCAGGGGGTCTTATTGTGTTTCTGTTCTGCCTCTTCATCTGAAATAAATAAACTCTTACTCGATCAACTGAAGTTAAATAAAAATGTGATTCAGACGTGGCTGCTTCTGGCCTGTGTCCTTTTTTTTTTTCTCCTTTTAACCGTAACAAAACCTTAATTATTTAACCTAACAAACACTACAGGACATTGTAATGAAAGATATTTTATATTAACTATTTTTAGTTCACACAACGTCTGGCCCCATGACATGCTCATCATCTTGCAAAAATCTGTGCCTTTTGTTGCTGCTCCACATGCTACAACACCGCCCCTACAAAGTTCCAACAAAGCAACACTTTAAGATGCCGTTTTTGCTCCTTCCAGGGCGGATACTTTGACAAAATCCTCGTAGACATTTCATCAGATCAGCTTGGTTTTTGGTCGGATCAGTCTAAAGATCACAGTGATGCTATATTGCAAAGCGTTTGTGTTCATGTTGGAGGGCATGTCCATGGCCCTATTTATCTTATGTCAACCTTAGGACTGATGTTTTTGCACCAACTTTCTTTTGATTGGCTGCTGCTCACAAAACAGAAGGATATTGCAGCGCTGCAGTTCCACTTATGACCACTAGAGGCTGAGATAATCCAACACTTGCTTATAAAGACTTTGAAGTGAAAGAACCCAAATGGCGACAGGTTGCGTCTGTGAGAACTTCCCCATCTGGCAGCTTTTGTTTCTTTCTTTGTGTTTCTGCTTAATTTAACTTCCTCTTCATGTAAAAATGTTTTTTAAGCAAGAAGGAAACATTATGCAAACTGGAGAAACTGGTATTATTTAAAAGGAATGTGGGCCATTCAAACGAGATTCTGATTCAAGGAAATAGTTTTCTTTGAGCTCTTTAGTAAGGCCTGATGCTGTTTAAAACACACTTCTATAGCATTTTAATCCCTTATTTAATTAGTTTGATTACCGGGAGGTTGTTAGGCAAATGTTTGAAGACCCTTTAAAAAAAACCCCATCAAAACACATGGTCTGACAGAGCAAAGCAGTCGTAACAGGCTGTTTATGATCAGCATGGTAAGTCTTTGGCCACTTTTGCACCAGAAAGTGCAGCATAAAATACACAGCAGGTCAATGAACATGTGAAATGTTAATTATGAATAACTCATAATTAAATGCAGAGGGGC